TTTCATAATATTTTAATTACTTCATGTCACTGTATAAATAGAGCACCCAACCAAAATTAATGACCTATGGAATACTTTTTGCCATCCCAAGTAAACATGGATGGTTTGCAGTTTTAATAACTATAAAAACAAATATATGCAGCTCAAAAAATGACCAATTTTTTAAAGAAGATCTAGGTAGTTATGCTTCAAAATTCAGAGCTAATGAAAGCTTATAGAGACCATCTTCCCATTAGTCAGAAAATTCATGAACATAAATAGGGCTTCATAACCATAAAGGTGAGTCAAACTCCTTAAACAGTAAATCAAGCTGAGTGGATAAAGAAGGGAAATGAAGAATGACCAAAGTCTAGCATTTAATTTAAAAAAAGGCTTTTAATATAAATCTGAATACAAAAATAACCAAAACACCCTACAGTCATCACAAACCAATCTTCAAGGTTTTCTCCTATTAGTTCCCTGACAGTTTGGCAAGGGCTTGTTTTCTCTGTTGTGCAGTCATATGCTCACAGGCTTCCAAAATATTTACTATAATTAAAGTCTGTTGAACTGTTTTTGCTTTTACCCATATTCTTCCATTCATTCCCAGCACCATCTCAAATGGGTACAATTGTGACAACTCTTGAATTATTTCACATTTGGGAGCCAAGAGCCTGTGAACAAGAGCAAAAACAAAAAAGTCAGAGGAAGGAGTGCCCACACTTACAAACACATTATTATTGACCAGTAGCTCCAGCAGTGCTGCTATTGTGGGAGCTATTTAAGAAACACTGAAATATTACAAAGTTGCATATACATCCAAAATAGCAATACAGTATCAGATTTTCAAGGCTCCTGTCATATAAAATAGATGCACCTAAAAAGAAAACATTGTAAATTTAGTTTTTTTCTCATTAGATTCAGAAGCAATCCCTGATAAGCTTAAAGTTAATTGATACTTTTACAACCCTTCTATGAGTTAATAAATTGTAAAAGTACACTGTTTGACCAAATGACATTTTTGAAATGCTATTTATTTGGCACCCCAGAGGTGTCTTTCAAAACATAACTTCCCTTCTACTTCAGGAGACAGTATTAAGAGCAATAAACAGACTACTTCATTTTTATTAGATAACAGCATACTAAATACTGTAACATGTCTAGGATTAAATCAAGACTGAACAAGTATTCACAAAAGCTAAAATCATATCAGGATTTAGCAGCTTACTTGTAATACGCTGTTATTTTTTTACTTGCATACAGTGAAAATTTGGCAAACAGAATGGCTGCAAAAAGTTTTTGTATCAGTTCACGCTGACTTCTGATTGGACCTATAAATCAGACAATGACAGGAATGAAAAAGCTGCTCTGCAATGCCAGATTGCTTATTCAAAGAATGATAAAACAAACAAAGAGCTCCACCCAAAAAGCAACAAAGTTTGACTATTGTTTATCCACATAACCTGGTATTCTTTGACAGTCACAAAAAAATTCTGTATCTACATCAGCATAAGCAACTCCAAAGTTCATGATACATTTAAAAGCTTATGAAACAGCTCCTGGACTAATATGTCAGTTTTAAACTAAAGATCCTACATTTTTTAAATCTGTATCTTTATTTCAGTGTTATTTATTTTTCTTTGGAAGTTGGAAAATAACGTGTACTGATGTGCAAAGATCCCTTTTGTCAGGGAAAGCTGTCAGCAAACATACACCTCTACTACCCCATGACACACAAAAAGGACAACAAGCATTGCCAAGTTTTAAACTCCAAGGCAATATGTACATACCTGAAACACTATCCTGAATGTTTGACTTCCCCAAGTCATTACTTTTATTTTCCATACTGCCTTGGCAACCACATCACTTATTTTAAACAGGTGATGCAACACCACACAAAAGAGCTTCTAAGTCTCTTAAGTGGAAAAATAAACTTTCCTTCTAGATCAAGCCATACTCTATTCAGTAAATCTGGTTTCAGTGCACTACAAGAATCACACACGCTGATTTACGAAACTGCCCACACTGCTCAGAAGAAACACCTGTGGGAATCTTACACGTGAGAGAGGCTACTTACATTTTTTAGTACTTACTTTCTTATTAGACCTAAGGAAACTTTAAAGAGGAAGCCATCTTGTCCAATTATTCCCATGCCACTTGACTTTCCACTGCTGTCTATACAGACCATCTCTGGTTCCATGTCTTTATTTGCGACAACGAACTGGCCATAAATGAGATCTCCCACCTAAACAAAATAGGGTCAAAGAACAAAGGTATAATCTCTTATAATGATTTAGTAGGACAACAATAAAAAACATCACACAGGCCTATTTGTTTTTTCTTTACAGTTCCTTTTACATTCTGGTAATGGCATTTCATCTGTGTGCAGAAACTGTGGCATGCATGTGCTACCCAACCATTCATAATAGTGTTGTTAAAAGAAGACACACAACTAACAGTTTCTACCAGCATCACTTATTTAAAAACTTTAACATCCGAGTGCCCTTTCAGATCCACCTTACTCATGAACTGCATCTGCTCCTGGCAGCACTATGAGCAAATGAAGAGTGAAGCACCCGGCCAGCTGAGAGAGAGCAGAGCACGCAAGTTACAGTCCTCCTAAGAAACCCCAGAATGGCGGCGGCCTTAAAGGTGCGAAATCCGAGGAGGACCAAGGCGAAACCATCACAACCAGACCTGCCCATCTCCTCTAACACGGGCTTATGAAAACACTTCCCCTAACAAAAGCTACTGAAATGCAACACAGGCGCCACCAAAGGACGCAGCTGAAGCGCTACCGCCAGCTAACAGGGCACCCACCTGCACGTTCGGCCTGTTCCTCTTCGTGGCGCCTTCGAAGGCCAGGTAGGACAGGGAGGCCGGCTCGCTGCCGCCCACGTCCAGCCTGAACACGTCCCCCGCTTTGGCCGTCACGATCCCTATGACGTGGTCGCCCTTCACCGGCACGTACTGCAGCGGGAGAGGAGGACAGAGGGTCAGGGGAGCGCGGACAGACGGGGGCTAACACACAAACACACACACACACATATGGACACCGCCGCACCCCTACCCGCTTCTGCTGCGAGTCCACCCAGTAGGCGCCGCCGCCCCCGGGCCGGTGCCGCAGCAGCCCGCACTTGGTCACCAGCAGCCCGGCCCCGCTGCGCCGCAGCCCCGGCCCGCACAGCAGCCGCCCCTGCGGCGCGGTGCCCGCGCTCAGCCGCAGCCGCTCGCCCTCCGCGTCCTCGTCGTAGTGCGCGGGGAGCAGGAGCAGGTCCCCGGGCAGCACGACCTGCCCCACGAGGGCCTCGGCCGCGGTGCCACGCTCCGCCGCCATGGCCGCCATGGCGCACGGCCCCTCAGACCGGGGCGGGCGGCTGCGCCTGCGGCCTGCGCGCGGCGTTCGCGGGGCGCCAGCGACACCTCCCGGCCGGAACGGCCCGGACCGCCACAGCCGGGCCCGCTCGATCCCCGAGCTGCTGCAGTGGCTCCTCGCCCCTCGCGGCACCTCCGGCAGCTGCCGGTCCGTCAGGGAGGCAGCCCGCCTTCCATTTCTGCCGGGGAGCGGCCAAGAGAATGCTAGTGCACTGCGGCGTCGGAATTAACAAACACACGGAGGTAATGCTTCCAGCTGCAGTAGTTTGCAAGGTTTTTTTTAATACCCGATTAGAATTTGACAGTAAAACATACAGCTGGTCAAATCTGAAGTGAATATCAGCCGATGAGTTTTGCAGGGAGCAGAAAAGATCGCATCAGTTGTGAAGGGAAACTGCTCACAGAGAGAAAGCATTAAAACAATCGGAAAGGATCACAGTGGATCACCTGGTCCATCCTCCGTGTCCTAGAGCACATTGCACAGAACTGCATCCAGACAGCTTCCAATATCTCTAGATAAAGAGATTCCACAACCTCTCTGGAAAATCTGTTCCAGTGTGGGGTCACCTGCACAAAGTTCTGCCTCCTATTTAAACGGAGCTTCCTATGCATCAGTTTCTGCCCATTTAGTGGTGTCCTAGTGGTTGGCACCACAAAGCAGAGCCTGGCACCTCCCCTTTAGGTATTTATACATATTAATGAGGACCCCTATCAATCATCTCTTCTCAAGGCTGAACAGGCTCAGCTGTCTCAGCTTTTCCTTGTAAGAGAGATGCCCGATCCCTTAACCATCTTCATCCCTGTGCTGGACCCGCTCCAGGATCTCCGTGTCTCTGTCACTGGGGAGCCCAGACCTGGACACAGCACTGCCGGAAGAGCCTCAGCGGGGCTGAGCAGAGGGGTAGGATCACTTCCCTGGCCCTGCTGGCAATGCTCTTCCTAAGGCACCCCGGGATACCATTGGCCTTCTCGGCCACAAGCGCACTGCTGCAAAACCTTGTTGTCCATCGGCCCCCCCGGTCCTTCTCCACAGAGCTGCTCTCCGGCAGATCACCCCAGCTCCTCCCGGTGGTGGGGGTATTCCTCCCCAGCTGCAGGACCCAGCATTTCAGGCTTTTCTCTGCCATCCCTCCAGCCTGTCGAGGTCTCTCTCAAGGGCGACAAAACCCTCTGAAGTCTCGGCCGCTCCTGCCCGTTTTGTGCCATCGGTGACTTCTCCGAGCAGGCCCTTCACCCCTCCGTCAGCTCCGGCGGCCGGCGCTGTTGCGGAGCAACCCCGCGCGTTCGGGGCCGGGCCGGGCGGCAGGAGCGGGGCGGGCCCGGGGCTGCCGTCCCGGGGCTCTGGGAGCTGCTGCCGGCAAGGAGCCGGAGCGGGGCTGCTCTCCGAGGGAAGGCGAGCGGCCACAGCGCATCCCGCGGCACCAGAAGCAGGGCAGGGACACCACCAGCTGCCGAGGACTCTCTCGGAGCGTGAGGCGAGGCGGGGTAGCGGGCCATGCCCTCCCAGGAGCTCCAACAGCCGGCGTAGGGATGAGGAGCGGGCCTGCCCTGCTTGCAGCCTAGGGGAAAGGGAGGGGCCAGCCCGGGCTTAAATGGAGCCCGGAGCAGGGGGCGTGGGCGGCCTCATTAAGGTCACCTGGGGCCGCTATGAGAGCAGATAATGGGACTGGATTTGCCGTTGTGCTAAGTGTCCGGGCTCTCTGCCCCGGCATGGATTCAGCCCCCTTGACAGCAAAGAAAGGCTCCTGTTTACTTAAAAGCTTGTGTTTACTGGGCTGGTAAAGCGTGTGCACGGAGATCTGTGCCTTTCCTAACTGTGGAGTGAGTGCTTTAGCTCCTTGCCTCGCATACACGTGTAAAAGATAGCTCTCATAGATCAAACAAAAATCACCCCTTAACTGTCCTCAGAACTACTTGCCTGTTCTTTGAGTACCTCTGTAGAAGTTTTCTACGTCGTGTTGTGGTTTTCAGGTTTTTTTTTTTTTATTGTTATCATACAGACCTAGAATTGGCAGCATGTTTTAAATAGCTTATGAATTATGCATGTCTAAACAGTAAGGTGAAGTTTAAGCTTTTTTTTTCTGCAGTGATTGTTATAACTGACCTGTCCACTGGAGCTTTTAAGAACTAAACTACTGCCAAATAACTTGTATAAATTGCAAGCTTAGTAAAAGGTAATCTCATAGTCAGTGACACTGACTACGTGTCACTGCACTTTAAACACGAATTCTTAAAGCCCCTAACTCAATTCTGACATTGATGTCTAATATCTGTCTGTTCATTGTCAGTAGATTTGGATGGAGTCTCAGTATCTGAAGCAATGCCTGGGAGATTGCTTGAAGAAAGGACTGGCAGAGGTTGTAGAGCATCGGCCAGCAGATCCAATAGAGTATCTTGCACACTGGATTTACAAATACAGAAGAAACTTAGATGAAGAAGAAAAGGTGGATCCACCTTAGGCAAAAAAAAAAAAAAAAAGATTACTATAATATAATTGATGCTATTTAATATATCTTCCATTTTTATATTTAATTGATTCTGTGTTACCTCTGAAATAGAGAATACTGGAGAGAGCTGAGCTGGAAGAAGAACGGGTGGCAGCCCAAGCAGAACTTGAAAGGTTAAAAATCGAGGAAGAGCAGCAGAAACTGGAAGAGCAACGGCAGGTTATTAATGCTTAATAATAGATCATTCCAAGCAGCATATGGTGCTGTGGCATCTTGGAGCTCTATGTATACTTCTAATAGCTGTATAATGATTTTGATAAAGGTGACATAAAGCAGGCATTTTAATTTCCCTTTTCTGATTAACTGAAGTTATTAGTCAGCACATGGGTAGGAAAAGTTACATACTATGCAGTAAAATGTTATTAAAAAGTGATGGCTGTTAAGTTAAAAGTCAGCCAGTTTAGGAGTTATGTGAGAAGTAACTGAAAGTACTGTTTGGGCTTATAATATGAAATTAATATAACATCTGTGTTTCTAGCCATTTTTTGTAAAGGAGTCATGTGAACCCAGGGTTGCCATGGTGATGTTGATGTGACCTGACTGGATTTTTTTGTATGGATGACTTCCATGATGTTAAAATCAAATGCTTAATTTTAAATTTATGCTGATCACATTAAGCCCAGCTCTAGTGTAAGATGCATTCATTTTATTTCACTTGCAGTTTTAAAATTTGGAGTTTAGTAATTGGCAAACCAAAAGTAATGTGCTTAAGGGTTTCATGAGTGATGTAAAATAGTAAATGAAAGTAGAGATTGTGTCTAGAGATAATTCACTGAGAATTAAATAAATCATTTCACCTAAGCTATGGGAAAGATGTTGAACAATACTCACATTAGATGCATTTTTTTAACCTAACTCAGTTTTGTAGTCAAATACTGAGGTAAGTTTTGCATTTATGTACCAAAAAGGAATAGAAAATTATGACCATGTTTGTAACTGCTCATAAAATGCAAGAGCAGAAGTATTCTCTAAGGTTGTTGAATATAAATAGATTATGCAGTTTCTGAAGTTCTGATGTAATAAGACTTGTGTTCCCAATTAATAAACACTCCCTGTTAGATATTTCCAGTTGTAAATACTGAAGGTTGCTGATGGACATGATTAATGTTAATGACATTGCCTGCCAAATTTTTCTATAGGTTTGATTCTACATTGATTCCTCAGTGTATTCTAGGTACTACACAAAGTATCAAAGAACTTAATCCAGGAGATAACTAATACAAACTGGGAAAGAGCTTGTGTAATGAGACAGTATCTGAAGTGTGTACACTAACTTCAGTTAACTGTTTTTTCTTCCTCTTGGTAGTAAAGCTTCTTTATCAAATACCTTTTTCAAACCTTTGAAAATGATGATGATGATAATGAAAGGATCTTGTTATTAGCATAACATAGAAATTATGTTTTATGCTTACTTTTTATTTATTATTTCAATATAAAATACATTGTAAACAATGTGGTGGAAAAGATACATGTGGGGTTTTTTTCTTTCTAATTTGTCCTTTCTTGTACTGATTGCAGGCTGAGTTGGAGAAAGAACTTGCAGAGTTGGAAGCACAGAAAAAGGAAGCTGAAAGGAAGTTGCAGCAGGTAGATCAAGAGGTTTAAGCCAATGCTTAGTTGGTGGTTTGAAAATACCATTTATCAGCCATTTTTTACAGATGCAGGCATCAATTACAAAACACAAAGCAGAAGTGTTGAACTAACACATAGTTAAAGAAACAGGAGTGGAGATAGGGGGGAATGTTTAACACATGGCTTCTGCAGTCTGGGTTTTATACTTGAATTTTGGTCAGAGCAGAACATAAATTTACTCCAAAAATCCAGCATAAGGTCAGCTTACCTGATGTTTCCACATTTCTTGGTGGTATTTATTAGAAAGTTTTATAAAATAAGCATGTCTAATTGAAGTACCAATATAGTAATATTTTACAGGGTGTTAGCATAAAATCCATTTACTGTACCTGGAAAAAGAGCTGTGGTTTGGAATTGCAGTGCATCTGGATTCTGCTATCTTAGTGGTGCATGGGAATTTACACTAACAGAAGAGTGTCTATACAGATATCCACGTTTATGGTCTTTTAATGCTGCTTCAGTAAAAGCATACATGGATCATTGGCATGCTTATCTCCCTAAAGCTTTTAAATCTCTGTGGGGCACAGAGTATTTTAGAAATACCGAAGTTTTTGGAAAACTCTGCTAAAATACTGACAAAACATAATTGTAAGAAGATGAACATATGAAAGTGACAAAAAATAATATATAAAAACTTTAAATTGCTGTTAATTAAAAAAAAAAAATTAAAAATAGGGCTAAGCATACCAAGACATATTCCCATACTACTAAACTTTATAGCACTTATCTAAAATGTTCTCTTTACATTGATACATAATGTCATTTTAACACACCTGAAATGTGATTTCATGACATGGGACATTTGACATGAACTGAAAACTGGTTTTCTTTACCACATGAAAATGAACAGGCAATAGCTGAAGTTACAGATGAACCTGAGGAGCTGGATGAGAGTGAACATGTAAGTGTTTAGAAACAGATTATTTTGATTCTTAAAAATTTGCTTTTCTGTGCTGACAATAGATTTATGAAAATATAACTTATGACTGTTCTTAGGGTCAGCTTTTCACAGGTATTTTTTCCACTGAGATAAATCAGATGTGTATGCAAGATCCCATATAGCCCCAGTTTTTATCATTTTCTGATAATTACATATTTTAAAATATTCTTGAGGCTTTGGGCATATTTTATGGGTTCTTCAATAAGAAAATTGTAAAACCAGAAGGGAAAATGAGTCTTAAGTGTCTGCTACTTTCTCCATGTGCCAAGTTTTCATGCCTAAAGGTGTTAGATTCCCTTGGCTTTTGGGGATGTTATTTCAGGTTTTACAGTGACATGTTTGCTACAAATTACAAACAGATTGATAAAATAAGACATATATGCTTGTACTATTGATTCTGCCCTCAAAATCACAATGCATCATCCAAATTTGCTGGATTTTATAATAAAAGTCTGGTGATGACATTAACTGTATTCATTCTATTGAATGGAAGAATACATGATTATACTGATAAATACCAACTTGTCTGCCATGGGCAGGTTTTTCTATTTTCCTTTTTACAAAGCTCAGTGAATGCTGGTAAGTGGTAGAATATTTTTGTTGTTGTTTTCCAGGATCAAACAGACCTCCCAACAGTAATAGAAGAAGAAGAAGAGGAAGAAGAAGAAGAAGGAGAAGAAGAAAATTAGAACTGACCTGAGAGCAGTAAATATATTTTCTACTCATTACGTGCTATCCCGAAGTGTAGTATCTTGATTTATGTATTTTATAAATATAACTGATTTATGTAACTGTTTCTCTGGTGTGTGTTTTCAAGGTCTTTGTATAAAGTCTGTTATTTCTGATACCTATTCTTCCTTTTTGTTCTTAAAGCATTGTAATTAGCATGACTGATTTATAGGAAGAAAATTGTAGCTGAAGTGAAAGCAACAAATATATTTTCTACTTGTTGCATATTGAAGTAACCATAATAAATAACAATATAACTAAAGTGTCAATATGATTTGAGGATAGATGCTACAATATGATAATTTGAATCAATGTTAAAAGAATAAAATATTACTGAAAATTATTTTCAAGAATTGAATGGTTTCTGACAGAAAAAGGGAATGCTCTGCAGATTAAAAGATGGAGAGAGTATTCTGGACTTCAAACTTGGTGCAAAAATCCAATCAGTATTCCCAAATGTATTTGAAAGAGGAAAATTTAACTCTGACTCAGTAGATACTAGAAGATCTTGTCTCCTAGAAGTCATGAGGTGATCTAGGTCTTTATCATCGGAAGATATATTTATTATTAGAACCTTTTTTGGGTATTGTGTGGTACTAGGTAAGCTGCAAGTGTCTGCATGTTAGTCTTGATTAATCAAGTTTTTAAGACTTTACTGCATTTTTCTTGAATTTGTAAATCAAGAAATTAAATGTGTTCTCTACTAAATACCATCATTATTTCTAAAACTTTACTTCTAAAAACTTAGAAGAATATTTTGTTTGATCCATGGTTATCTATAAAAATAAGTTAAATAATACCTAAAGATTGCGTTTTTAAAAGAACAGATGTTTGCAATCTTGGTATAGGTTGTCAAGAATGTTCTATGTCTCTTTGTTATAAATGGAAAAAACTTCAGCATCAAGAAATCCTGCTGTTCTATAAAATGTTCCTTTGCATCTATGCCTTCTACTACAGCTTAGATGGTCATGGCCAATATTGTGTAATGAAAATAGCTTTCATTAGAAAATCAGTGCATAGTTAATGCATTCACTGCATTCTTCAGTCTTGGGATGAAAGAGATTTTTCTGATAATTTCACTTCAATTTTTTTAATAGTATCGCTGAGTCTAAGTGGTTTGCTGTCTTTGGCAAACTGTTAAAAATATCTGTACACCCAACAGACAAGGGTCAATCACATAATAAATGTTTTCCTGCTCTGAATAACTTGCCTTGATCATGTAGATCAGACTAAGAATAATCCTACAAAATTTTAAAAACATGAGCACTATTGATATTTCTATATATTAATATATATTATTTTTTCCCTTTAAGTATCTCTATTAAAAAAATCCTGTGCCCATCTTATTGCTACACTGCTTTTTGAATGCTGCTAACAACCATGTCTTATATGAGCATCCTTAAAGTCATTTACTGGGTATAAATACTTAGAAATGTTTGTGTAACTTTTGGAGTCATGAAAAGTGGAACTATTTCTTGTGTCTAAGTGGTCAGGCTTTGCTATCTACAATAATTTTGATTGGTTTGCAGTTTCTGTGATAGTCAAAACTTTTCCAGTGACATGAATACACCCTTGTGGTTGATGTTCCAGAATTTGACACAGTTTACAATTATATTTGTTACAAACAGTTACAATAGAATCATTCAAGGACACACTTTGATACCACAGTTCTTATTACACCTGTTAACACTGAATACACAGCAGCCTCTTGTGCCAATCTCAAAGGGATGGAGTAAATAGATAAACAGATGGGATTTGTTTTTTAAACAACATCTATAACTGATTCATAATATTTAGATTAACACTTCCAAAAATTGGTAACTGATGTTCATTTTCAACACTTAATGTCCAGCCATGTTGACCATGAAAATTTCAACCTTCATACAGCCTTCAGAAAGTAAGATACTATTTTAAAACATGCTAGAAATTAATTCTGATGACATGTTGCTTTCATTTTTTTATCCTTTAATCTGTTTGTATCTTTGTTTGATTTTGTTATATGTGTGTCCACTAGAGTGCATCCTAAATAAGCACACTGGAAGCTCTGTCAACTACAGCCTATGAAAACTGCAACTTCTGTTTGTCATTCTGTTTCAGCTTATTTTTAACTATGACTTTTTCTTTGTGATGCTGCAGTTCATATTCCTCACTTTATTTCAAGGAAGGAAGTTTTGGATGGAAACTTTTATCAGAAAATTACTAAGCAAGGGTCAAAACAAAATAGATTCCAATTTACCTGTTTCTTTATTGTTAGGTACAGAAAACTTTTCTTGTTAAAATGTTATTTATAGGAATTCCCATTTTTTTCAGGATCTGATGTGCACAGACGTGGTGCATTACAGCTTTATAGGAATTCTTATCTTGGATATGTGACAAGAGGTAAACAGTTCTTGGCTCCATGCTTTCTTGAGGTGCAAACCTGCCTGTAGGTCACTTGAAAATGTAGTTCACAACAAAGATTACTTCTCCTTGGGTGTCTAAACCTGGAGGGAAATAAGGGCAGCTTAAAATAATTTTTGCCTTCTCTTTCTGAACTTTCACCTTCTTTGGAATTTAGCAAGCTAGAGCCTGGAGGAGGATGGATTACTCTTTTAATTACTGCTCATGATGTGATTTCAGAAGTGTTAGCACAATTTAACCACTGCATAAAATGTAAAATTGTACATTGGAAAGAAAAAAAATAAGCAATTACATAAGGTAGCTTCATCTGCAGCTTATACTCCCTTTGAATAAATTTTTGTGAAATTTAGGAAAGAAGGATAAAATTCATAGACAGATGATGCAAACTGTCACTGAAAATAAGGCTCTAAATACTGACAGAAAATTTATGAAATTGTCATTTTTCCTTTCTTCAGAGTAAGAGCAGTCTTGTTTGGGCTGTGAGCAGGCCATGTGCAGATCCTTCAGAGAACATGCTGATAGTAACATGCCCATTCACAGCTGTTCTCATTCCAGCAATACTGAAGCACAAGGATGAAAACAGATATGAAGCCCAGAATAGGACAAAATGATCCAGATTAACTGTCAGTCTGCTCACAGAGGTGAAAACAGCTCTGCAGTGTGAGAACCTTCTCCTGCATGGAGAAATGCATGTTGCAGAAAATACGTTTATTTTAAAGTTATCTTTTAATGGAATGGGTTTTATTCAGTTTGCAGTCCCCTTTATGATGAACGATTTTCCTTCATAGTCTAAAGGAACTAACTTATCTTTTTGTTAGCAGAAATTTTATACAGTAATTTGCTAATGGCAATGGGAGCCATATGAATTAGTCTGGATTAAATGTTAAATCGAATTTCTCTGAACTTTGCTAATACAGCTTACTCATATTTGAAGTCAGCTATTAATTGCTTTACTTCTTTGAAGAATTTCCTGTACTTAAGTTAGAAAAAGAGCAGTGTTGTCTATTGACTACAGCTAGAAATGGGAGTCTAAGCCTGTTATTTCCTGATAAGGACTGATGTACTTTTTAAAATATTTTACCAGTGTACTTATTTGCTTTTACAGTTTTGTTTTTGAGTTGCTGCTTTTTTGGAGTTTCTGTTTGGGTTTTCTTGTGGGGGAGTTTGTTTGCTTGGTTTTATTACTTTTGTTTGTTTTCTGGTGCTGCCATTATAGACCTTCATGCAGTCATTGTGTTTTATACTTGAGTATTTGTTACAATTCATACAGTGCAAGGAGTTATACTATTGCAAGCATTTGTACAGGCATTGGGCTAATAGTAATGGAAGAAAGGCCAGGTAGAGGAAGGTGCCCTTCTTTGATCTGGCACAATGTAGTAGATTTTTTAAAAGTTAAGCAGAAGACTCATTCTCAGAATTGGAGAGTTCTCAGATGTATATGCAACTTCAGTACTGTGGGTCTTCCCCGTTAACTTGTACATCATAGAATCATTATCATTAACCAAAATTAGTGTTTAATTTAGATCAGAATTTTTGTAATCTATGCTGTTTTTTATTTTAAATAAATTAGAAGATACTATATAATGAAAAATTACATTTATGAGAGCCTGTCTGAGGTAGGTCATCCAAAATCAATGCCCAAAAATTCAAACCAAATTAATACATTAATACTGGGCATGTTTGTTTTAGCACCTGAAAGTAAATGCACATTCATACTGTCAGGTAATGGAATGAGTAGAGAAGGTTGCCATTTGGTTCTTGTTGATTAATCTTTCTTGAGTTATCTATTTCAAAGTCTGTATTGACATTTCTGTACTGCTACAGAAATATATGCATCACTAAAAATTCCAAATTTTCCCCCATTACTTTCATCCATCACAATTTAAAAGTTCAGTGTACTTTAAATGATGATGTTAAGCTTGGATTTGACTTAGAAATAAAAATTGATATTTAGGCATATTGCACCAAAGTTATCTGAATAATTTTAGCTTCTCTAAGGGTATGTAAAATGTTTAAGAATTTTTTAATGAACTCCCCAAGGGAATTCTGCCATTTTCTCCATGTAGTTACTCATGGATCTCAATAGAAGTTGATATAATAAAAATTTTGGGGTTTTCTTCCAAAAATCTTGGGAAAGTACTTGTGGAAAATGTGACTTTAGTTTGATGCAAGAACCAATTGGTGTTTAAGTTCAGCAGATTAGTTTGTTCAGCGGTTCCTTCATAGTTTAGATGTTGTCTAGTAGATGGCAGATAAAGAAATTGGCTTTTCCTGGTGGAGGAGGTGCATGTATGTTTGAACTTGATCAGTATTTTGGTTAGTCTGTTTTTCTTAATGAACTGAGTCATATTTTCAGCTCCATTATAGAGCTGATTGTTGTTATTTGGTTTCAAAAAAATTGAGGCAAACCCTTTTTTGGTGTACTGAAGATGCATTCCAAGGATCTCAGTCTTGGTCTCATTGAAGTTGCTGAAAAAGCTGTGGTTGAAACATAAGAGGATTGAACTCTCAACTAACACAGACTTCTACTCCTGAGAAACCATCTCCTAGTTATTAAATTTTTAATGCACTTAATATTAAAACAAGAGAGAAATGATTGCCTCAAATTGTATCTGCAAGGCAGCACAGAAATAAAAAGAGCTTAATTGTGGGGAGGGCTGGAAAGAGGAAACATTCAGATAATAAATCATTTCCATTTCAGCAGAGGGGCACTGCAGCTCTCTTTTGCTGTGTTTCTAGTCACATTCCTGGGAGTGTGTTAGGCTTCTCCAATCATTCTGCCCAATTTCTGCTCCACCTCTTGGATGTACTTGCTTGCAGAAATGACTGGCTGCACACAGACACACCTGTATTTGGTTCATTATCGTAAGCAATTGCGGTTTTGCCACTGATGTGTTTAGTAGATAAGTGAAAAAAATTCTGTTTATTTAGCTGATAATTGTA